ATCTTCTTCGATTCGTCGTTTATCGTTAACTTTACAGCCTTTAAAAGTCCTCTGCCGAACATAGGCTTCCCCCGTGTATTGCGTCATATTTGCCACAGTTGCCATGCGGGCGAGTTTACAACCGTGGGTTTTTATTGTTTTCAGTTATAATCAGGGAGACGCTGTTGCCCATCTCCTAGTTTGTGCCCTTTGTCTTCTCTTACGACTCCAGCGTGGCGATTTGGAGTAGTAGATATTCTGACACCGCCAGTACACTTTGTCATCTCCATGTTCATAGTATTCTTCAAAATATTGTGTTGCTATCAGAAATATGCAATGAAGTCATCTCCTGTTTCAGTTTCTCTTTATCACCTCTCAAGACACCCACGAGACGATATGGGGCAGTGTATATTCTTACACCATCACCACACAGCATCATTACTATATAACGTTATGATGATGTGTGGTGGCGTCTGTCTGTACGTGGTAGAGCCACGCTGCAGCTATAATATTATGGTTGTAGCACGAATGGTTCGGCTCAACCGGGGTAGGACCACGCACTCACAGAATACCAGCGTTAAATAGCAGCTTAATGCTGCTGTGTTTCGTATAGTCAGTGTTTCAAACCGGAGATCCTTCTTACTGGTACTAGGCTGCACTAAAAGTATCGGGAATGGAATATTTCCACTGTTCCTGTCATATTAAAATCTTTTTAATCGAAAACACCTTGGTTTTAAAAATCGAATACCATTTATTTATTTAAAAAAGATTCTCGGTCTTGTCACAAGGTTTTGTCAAACTTGTTTAGTCGTTGAGAAAATGGAATTGAATCGAGAAAATTCAAGAACGATAATTTATTATGACTTTGAATGGTTACAAAGATTATGGATGGCATTTCGCGGTTTGCTGAATTTCAACAAATACAAATAATCTTGCATGAACAATTAGGTGTAAAAAAGTTGTTTTCGCGATGGATACCGCATTCGCTCTGTGAAGAGCAAAAAGCAGCTCGCGTTACTTGGTGCGTCAAAACTCTCGAAAGATTCCACGCAGGATCCTCAAATGCTGTATCATCGTATCAGGTGACGAATCCTGGATATACGCGTACGAACCCGAAACAAAAAACCAGTCACGAGTTTGGGTGTTCGAATATGAGTTAAAACCAACAAAAATTGTTCGTTCACGGAGTGTTGCAAAAAAAAATGGTGGCCACGTTTGTCTCCAAAACCGGCCATATTACGACTATTCCTCTTGAGGGACAAAGAACGGTTAATGCAGAATGGTATGCTAGCATTTGTTTGCCACAGGTGTTTTCTGAACTCCGTAAAGAGAACTGCAACCGCCGCATGATCCTCCATCACACCGCAGTTCTCACATAATAACAAAAGAGTTTTTAGAGCAAGAAAACATAATTATTAGACCATCCGCCGTACAGCCCCGACCTAAGCCCTAATGATTTCTATACTTTACCTAAAATAAAGAATAAATTGTGTGGACAGGTATTTTCATCACCTGAAGAAGCTGTGGACGCCTACAAAACGGCCATTTTGGAGACCCCAACTTCCGAATGGAATGGTTGCTTCAATGATTGGTTCCATCGTATGGAAAATGTGTCAAATTTCGCGGAGAATACTTCGAAAAGCAATAAATACATTTTAAGTAGTAATGTTGTGTCACTTCCTTGATTCCCGAAATTCATTCAGTTCATTCAGTGCTCCCCTCGTAATGAGACATTCCATCTCAGTCCTCAGGGGTGACAACGCATTACATTTTATTTCTTGAGGATAAGAATTCTTCATAGATGTCTGTGAGCCACAGCATAGATTACCGTAAAACGTGGCAACTTTGCCCGCTTTTTATGCGTTACTCTAATTTAATTTAAAATTATAAACATATTTAATAAAATACTCGCAATAAGTAGTCGAAAATGTTTCTAGGTTTACTTAAATTTGAAAATTACTATATTAAAAAATGGTCATACTTGCAAAAAAAGTTAATTTAGAACGTGGGCCAAATATTTAAAAAATGGCTATGTTTGCCCACTTGACATGGTAACACAGTAGCTTCGATATTTTGATCTTTATATTAAGTGGTTTAAGAAGTATGATAAAAAAGCGGTGCAATGTTGCACTGTATCATATAAGAAACGGCCACAAAAATGGAGTGGGCAAAGTTGCCAAGCCTTTTTTACATTCTCCATACAAACGAAAGTATGCACTAGGGTTGTTACTATTTAATACATTGTATTGCACAAATAGCCGTTTTATACTCTTGGTACCAAGTAAATAATATAAATGCAAACTACTTACAGTCTATTAATTATTTAATGGTAGTTAACATACAGAAATAGTAATCATATATTCTCATCGTCAGTAGAAAGCGAGAAGTGCTAAGGCACCAAACTGTTAGGTAGTTTTGAGGAATGATTAGAGTAATGACGAGTAATTGAAACAGTTTTATTTTTATATAGGTATTTAATCAAACAAAAGACTTGACACGTAGTTAAATCTGATTCATATGAGTTGCATCATATAATAAACTATGAATTGAAATAAATTAATCGACATTGGCTTTGAGAAAGCTACAACAAAAAGGTACTTAATAATGAATCTTAACTTAAAATCAAACTTATAAAAAAGAAATAAAAATGTTATTGAGATTAGCATCATAAAAATAATGTAATCTTGAGATCAACAAATAAACGCAAAAGATTATAAAAAAAGAATAAAATTATTACCTACATCTGATACTCTCAGAGATTTACCCGTGTTATCAACGCGTGAACCTAGTTACTCATGTGGTAGGAGTAAATAATTTAATAACAAAAATATCAACCAAAAACTTCAATAAACACAATGGAAAAAAGACAAGCCCTATAAACAATAAGTTACCTATTTAAATTAAAAAAAACTTAGGAATGTACTCAGGAACAAAAGTATTTTTATGAGATCATCGTTTAATAAAAGTCAACTGACCTATTTTGTAAGTCTAACAGCTTTGGTGGACAACCAAGTTTGACATGAAATCATTGTAACATCTGCCTTTAGCATTTAACTATCATCTTATGACATAAGTACTCAGTTGGCTACCTGAACTGTAAGTAATCCAAAACCGTCCAAAATTAGAAACAGCTATCACTATAGCCAACAAAACGCATTGTTTTACTACATCAAGATAACGAAAAAAATAAAAGCTTAATTATATAAATAAAGATCAATAAAATTACTTTTAATTATTGCACATTATATTCACTTAAATTTATATCAAATATTATCTGACCCCTCCGCGACATATTTGGTTGAGGCAATACTAGAATTATGTCATTTAAGTGCATCATTTCACAAGTGTCTTCTACATTTGGGTACGTGAACGCTAATTTCTTGCCTTTGGCATTTTTTATTTTTCTTAAGAATTTCACTGTAGGGATTTCATTTTTAACGCTTATGACTTGTCCAACGTAATGTTTTAAACTTTTTTTTTGTGGCAAATTTTGCCAATATCCAGTCATTGAATAAAACTATTATTTACGGATTTTATCGCGTTTAATTACTTTAATTTATTTTTATTATTATCCCGACGTTTCGGGTGCTTTACAGCGCCCATGGTCACGGGGGATATATAACATCTTTAAATTTCTTGAAGAGGTGCAGAGACCATAATCTCATTCCTACGTGTGTCAAAATATCAACAAAGAAAGACATTCGAGGAAGCGCTAAGATCTTAAATCAGCCCCGTGACCATGGGCGCTGTAAAGCACCCGAAGGCTTAATAATGAATCTTAACTTAAAATCAAACTTATAAAAAAGAAATAAAAATGTTATTGAGATTAGCATCATAAAAATAATGTAATCTTGAGATCAACAAATAAACGCAAAAGATTATAAAAAAAGAATAAAATTATTACCTACATCTGATACTCTCAGAGATTTACCCGTGTTATCAACGCGTGAACCTAGTTACTCATGTGGTAGGAGTAAATAATTTAATAACAAAAATATCAACCAAAAACTTCAATAAACACAATGGAAAAAAGACAAGCCCTATAAACAATAAGTTACCTATTTAAATTAAAAAAAACTTAGGAATGTACTCAGGAACAAAAGTATTTTTATGAGATCATCGTTTAATAAAAGTCAACTGACCTATTTTGTAAGTCTAACAGCTTTGGTGGACAACCAAGTTTGACATGAAATCATTGTAACATCTGCCTTTAGCATTTAACTATCATCTTATGACATAAGTACTCAGTTGGCTACCTGAACTGTAAGTAATCCAAAACCGTCCAAAATTAGAAACAGCTATCACTATAGCCAACAAAACGCATTGTTTTACTACATCAAGATAACGAAAAAATAAAAGCTTAATTATATAAATAAAGATCAATAAAATTACTTTTAATTATTGCACATTATATTCACTTAAATTTATATCAAATATTATCTGACCCCTCCGCGACATATTTGGTTGAGGCAATACTAGAATTATGTCATTTAAGTGCATCATTTCACAAGTGTCTTCTACATTTGGGTACGTGAACGCTAATTTCTTGCCTTTGGCATTTTTTATTTTTCTTAAGAATTTCACTGTAGGGATTTCATTTTTAACGCTTATGACTTGTCCAACGTAATGTTTTAAACTTTTTTTTTGTGGCAAATTTTGCCAATATCCAGTCATTGAATAAAACTATTATTTACGGATTTTATCGCGTTTAATTACTTTAATTTATTTTTATTATTATCCCGACGTTTCGGGTGCTTTACAGCGCCCATGGTCACGGGGGATATATAACATCTTTAAATTTCTTGAAGAGGTGCAGAGACCATAATCTCATTCCTACGTGTGTCAAAATATCAACAAAGAAAGACATTCGAGGAAGCGCTAAGATCTTAAATCAGCCCCGTGACCATGGGCGCTGTAAAGCACCCGAAACGTCGGGATAATAATAAAAATAAATTAAAGTAATTAAACGCGATAAAATCAGTAAATAATAGTTTTATTCAATGTGTAGTGTTCGCGTAAATTTAAGAAATCAATATCCAGTCATCTTTTTTTATGTTACTCGGATTGCCTGTAAAAAACGAAACATCTTCTGTGTAATCTTCTTTGAATTCTTCTTTGTAATCTTCCTCTAGTAAATATTTTTTAATAAAATCTTTCATGGATTCGCTTTCAGAATTTTCCGTATCTACTACGCTCATAATGTCTGAGTTTTCAGAGCTTGATTCTACTACATATCTATCTAACTTTCTCTTCTTTTTCTTAGATTTACGTTTTCTGTTTTGTATTTTGTTTGATGTTTTTGGTTGAACGTTATTTATTTCTATTTCTTTTAGAATATTGTCTTGTTTGGCATTTGATTTTTTTTGTAGTGCAGAGTCTCGAATTGTTTCAGCACCCAAAAATTTTTTCTTGATATTTTCTTTCTTCCTAGTTGAGGTTATCTTGGCAGTTGAAGTCACTTTTTCATCGGAGGTAACAAATTTTTTAGGAGAACTGTTTGCATAATGATTTCTTAAATTTACGCGAACACTACACATTGAATAAAACTAAATTTACGGATTTTATCGCGTTTATTTCACTACTTTTACTTATTTTTAATTCCCGACGTTTCGGGTGCTTTACAGCAACCATGGTCACGGGGGGGACTGAGATGTTTGACGTCCCAATGTTTTATTCAACTGTTTGCAGTCAATTTTACCCCACTTGGAGAATTTTTCGAAAGCAGATTTTGTGTTTGTAAACAAACAGGTAAATCTTTTTCATCATGTGCTATGAACGATAAATTTTCTTCGCGACTTCTCAAATTTTCACCAAAAATGCATAGATCTGGCGATTCCGAACCAATATCTTGGACTAATGAATGTATGTAATTATTGATAATATTGTTGCATGAATAAGTCAACTAGCGCCATCTAGTGTCAGGAACGAGAGCGAGGGGAGCATTGAGAAAATGACATCACAAATCGCTCAACTGACAGCGCCTAGTCGAAACTCGAACGCTCGGTACCTTCCGCGTGTTTACTTGAACATTCTGGATATTTCTTTGCTAATTCAAATATATAGGCGCTGCAAGATGCGATCGCAGTAGAGTTGAACTCAGCGACACAAGCGAAGCTTCGGAGTGGAATTAAGTGAATTAGTGTGTTTAAATTATTAGTGTTTTAACTTTAATTGTGTAAAGTAAATTAAAGTGTTAATTTAGGTAATTTTATCGGCAATTTTTATTGTCACGAACCTCAAGCTCGTAACAATTGGTGTCAGAAGTGGGATAAAATCATGCCGATTTTACCTAAGGAGGAAACGGAGGGTGTCCGTACCCGAAATCAACGCCAGCAGGAGACGGACCAAAGAAGATTTGGTGGTGCATCGCCGCTGACGTCGGAGGGCCAGCCGCCGGCTGCAGGCCCGTCAGTAGCTCCTCCATCTGCAGCACCCGATTTAGGTGCTCTGATGGTGATGCTGCAGGAACAGGCCCGTTGGTTGAAAGAGCAGCAGGAGGAACAGGCCCGCCGACAGGAAGAGCAGATGCTCCTCGTGAAGGACATCCACGCTAACTTCGGGAAAGAGATTAGGGAGGTGAAGGATAGGGTTGCTCAACATGACAACCGCCTGTCGGAAGCTGAAACCCAAATCAAGGAAGCTAAAACCCAAATCGACCAAGTAAACAATCGGGTTGATTACGTGATGGCTGACGTGAAGAAAACGCTGGACGACCTCAAACTGGGGGATGGAACTACAGCTCCCGTAGTAGCTATTACACCTTCGCTACGTGGGTTCAAGGTGCCACCATTCGACGGGACTTCTTCCTGGTCAGCCTACAAAATCCAGTTCGAGGCTGTTATGAAGGCGAACGGCTGGAATAAAAGTCAGGCCATGACTGCTCTCACACTAGGCCTGCGCGACCAGGCCTTAACAGTTCTGGAAGCTCTCGGTGAGGAAGTGACTTATGAGCAACTCCTTGAGGCATTGGAGGCGAGATATGGCGACGCTCACCTGGAACACGTCTTTCGTGCGCAGCTTAAAGATCGTGTGCAGCGCATCAACGAAAACCTGCAGCAGTGGGCTCTAGAAGTGGAGAAGCTGGTGCGAAAAGCATACCGGTCTGTACCTGCGCTCATTGAAGGGAACCTGGTGCAGACATTCATCGACGGCATCCGCGACCTGGAAGTCAGAGCTGCTGTGAGGCTCGGGCACCACGAGACGCTTAAGGACGCCTTGGCCCATGCACTGGAAGTGGAAGCCGTGCGGCAGGATCATCGTTCCCATCGCGTCAGGGAGGTTGCAGCAGCTACAGTTCGCGACCGCAACAAAGGATACAGCCCAAGGTGCTATGGCTGTGGGGAAAAGGGCCATCTTCGATCCAGCTGCCCTAAGCGAACCCTAGAAAGGGAAATTGAACGATCTCAGGAGGGTAGTGCGGCCAACAGCACCGCCCAGCAGCGGCAGGGAAACGAGTAAAAGCCAGAACTGCGGGGCGGGTGCTGGCTGATGTTAAAAGAGCCCCAAGGATCTCGATCTCACAAACCCATGATGGGAACAGCCTAATCATAAAGGGCGAGATCAACGGAATGCCGTGTAAGCTGACCATAGACACTGGAGCCTCTCGTACGGTTGTTAGTTCCCAACTTATAAGTCAGTTCCTTGGGGACTCCGCATACAACCGAGAACGCCTTAATTTGGTAACAGCCACCGGTCAGCGTATACCCGTCCGTGGAGAGAAGGAGATGGAGTTGAAGCTAGGCAACGTGATCTACCTGCATAATGTCATCGTGGCTGATATAATGGACGACTGCATCTTAGGCCTAGACTTTATGAGGAATAATTGTTGTGAGATCGACGTTAAGCAAGGTGTTTTGAAATGTGGACAGGAGGAACTTTTTATGGAAGGTGCGTTACCAGGGAACGTGTACAGCATCAAGAAGATTGTTCTTCCGCCGAGATCGGAAACGATTGTTCCGGTTAGTCTACCTCGAAACGCTGGGCAAGCTCACCGTTGTGTACTTGTGGAAAGGGTAAACAATGACCTTCCATGGAAAGTAGCTCGAACCTTGGTCAGGACCACTGACATCTCAGGAGTACGTGTGCTGAACCTTTGCGACCGGGAACAGATTATAGAAAAAGGCACACTGGTTGGTACTTGTGAGGAAGTGGATTGGTTACGTCAGTGCCAATATATATCGAGTGGGACGCCCAGCAAGGATTCAGAAACGAGAGTGACCACACTTTTGGAAGACTGTCGCAGTGTTCTGTCCCCGAACGAATTGGTCAAGGCGAAGAAGTTGTTACTCAAGTACGCCGATGTATTCTCATCAAATGATGCTGACATAGGAAAGACTGGCCTAGTTCAACACAAAATAAACACAGGAGAGGAATTGCCTATCTGTCAGCGGCCAAGAAGATTGCCGGTAGCACGTGAAAAGGAAGTGGAAACCATGATTGAAGGAATGGTGAAGGATGGTGTTATTGAACCTTCCTCTAGTCCATGGTGTTCACCAGTGGTGCTGGTGAAAAAGAAGGATGGCAGCATGCGGTTCTGTGTTGATTACCGCCGTCTGAACGACGTTACAAAGAAGGACAGCTATCCCTTGCCAAGAATTGATGACACGCTGGACATGCTTACAGGAGTAAAATGGTTTAGCACGCTGGATCTAAAAAGTGGCTACTGGCAAGTTGAAATTGACCCTAAGGACAAGGAGAAAACTGCGTTCTCGACGGGAAAGGGTCTGTGGCAATTCAAAGTAATGCCGTTTGGGTTGTGCAATGCTCCAGCAACGTTTGAAAGGCTGATGGAACTTGTACTTACCGGGCTAATTGGCGATGCCTGTCTGGTCTACTTGGATGACATCATCATCGTGGGCCGTACGTTTGAGGAACACCTTCAAAACCTGGAACGGTGCTATGAAGATTAGAGTGCCAACCTCAAGTTGAGCCCGAAGAAATGTTCACTATTTCAACGGCAAGTTAACTTTTTGGGGTTTGTAGTATCGGAAGAAGGTATCCGCACAGATCCAGAGAAAATCGCCGCTGTCAAGGATTGGCCGGTTCCAAAAGACAAGACGCAGGTTAGAGCATTTTTGGGTTTGTGCTCCTATTACCGGCGATTCGTGAAGAACTTTGCAGATATAGCCAAACCTCTGCACAAGCTAACCGAGGAGAAGCGACATTTCTGCTGGGATGAAAGTTGCAATATCGCATTCCAGGAGCTCAAGGACCGTCTGTGCAAAACACCTATTTTGGGATACCCTGATGCAAGCAAAGAATTTATAGTTGACACAGACGCAAGTGATATAGGACTCGGCGGTGTGTTGTCTCAACGGAATGGTGACCAAGAGGTCGTGATAGCGTACTTCAGCAAGTCGTTGTCAAAACCGGAAAGGAACTACTGTGTCACAAGACGCGAATTGCTAGCTGTGGTAAAGTCGTTGCAACATTTTAGCAAATATCTTCTGGGACGAAAATTTCACTTACGAACTGACCATGCTGCACTAAAATGGCTATTGCAGTTTAAAAACCCAGAAGGACAAGTTGCGAGGTGGATTGAACTACTGCAGGAATACGACTTTGAGATCGAACATCGCAGCGGGAAATCTCATGGCAACGCAGATGCATTGTCAAGAAGACCTTGTCCTGAAGATTGCAAACATTGTACTAGGCAAGAGAGTAAGGAAGTGGTATCCGTGAGGATGCTCAGGGCAGACCACCTCAGCAACGAGTGGAAGGACAGCTTACTACATGCACTGCAGGAAGATCCGGACATAAAGCCGATTCTGGAATGGATAAAGGCCAGTGCTCCCAAGCCCAAGTGGAGTGACGTCTCAGCGATGAGTTCGACCACTAAAAGCTATTGGGCCCAGTGGGACAGCTTGCTGCTTCAGGATGGAGTTCTGTGTCGTAAATGGGAAAACGTTCGGGGAGACAGCTGTCATTTGCAAATGGTTGTCCCTAAAGTTAAAGTACCGGATGTTCTACAGCTGTACCATAATGATTGTTCAGGAGGCCATCTGGGAGTTAAACGAACTCTACTGAAGATCCGAGAACGGTTTTACTGGGTCCACTGTCGAAACGATGTCGAGGACTGGTGTCGCAAATGTACAAGTTGTGCGGCTGTAAAGGGACCTCAGACTCGTAGTAGAGGTGCATTGAAGTTGTACAATGTTGGTGCACCATGGGAGAGAATAGCCATTGACGTGGCGGGGCCGTTTCCGGAGAGTGAAAGCGGTAACAAGTATTTCATGGTTGTGATGGATTACTTCACTAAGTGGCCAGAAGTCTTCGCCATTCCAAATCAAGAAGCTTCAACAGTTGCAGATAAACTAGTTCATGAAGTCTTCTGTCGTTTTGGAGTACCTTTAGAGATTCACAGCGATCAAGGAAGGAATTTTGAGTCTCAAATATTCCAGGAAACTTGCCGAGTTATGGGTACTCATAAAACAAGAACGACTTCTTATCACCCGCAATCTGATGGAATGGTGGAACGATTTAATCAGACATTGGAGAGGTACCTAGCAAAAGTTGTAGACAATCGGCAACGAGATTGGGACAAGCACATACAACCATTTTTGTTGTCATATCGAACTTCTGTTCACGAAAGTACAGCAGTGACACCAGCTTTCGCAAACTTTGGAAGAGAATTACGGCTGCCTGCAGACCTGATCACCGGGATACCACCCGATGCTCCACGCAGTATAACCGATTATGCAAATGACTTGCGGAAAAAAATGAATGACGTTTATGAGCACGTCAGACAATCGGGCCAGCAAATGTCTGAAAAGATGAAAACCCGGTATGACCGCAAAATGAACAACAAAGGTTTCGACGAAGGTTCACTTGTGTGGTTGCACAATCCAGTCCGCAGCAAAGGGAAATCTCCTAAGCTTCAAGCTAAATGGGACGGCCCGTACCGGATTGTAACCAGGATCAACGATGTGACCTACCGGATACAGAAAGGCGCAAGAGGGACTCCTAAGATCGTCCATGTGGATCGCTTGGCGCGTTATTATGGGACCGATAATGCTCGGGACGAGCATGTCTTAGGAGGGGGCAGTGTTGCATGAATAAGTCAACTAGCGCCATCTAGTGTCAGGAACGAGAGCGAGGGGAGCATTGAGAAAATGACATCACAAATCGCTCAACTGACAGCGCCTAGTCGAAACTCGAACGCTCGGTACCTTCCGCGTGTTTACTTGAACATTCTGGATATTTCTTTGCTAATTCAAATATATAGGCGCTGCAAGATGCGATCGCAGTAGAGTTGAACTCAGCGACACAAGCGAAGCTTCGGAGTGGAATTAAGTGAATTAGTGTGTTTAAATTATTAGTGTTTTAACTTTAATTGTGTAAAGTAAATTAAAGTGTTAATTTAGGTAATTTTATCGGCAATTTTTATTGTCACGAACCTCAAGCTCGTAACAATATCAATACAAATTGCTTTTAGACTATTTGGATTATATAATAACGACAATGGCACTACCAATTCATTTCTACTGTCATTTTCAGTTGATGTCGATGGAGAATCATTTTGTGTAATTTGTGTAACTGCGGAACTTACAAGACTTACACGTGATTTTTTGGAATTCTTTTTTACTATTTGCCCTGTTTCTTCATGCAATATATACGTCTCTATTTCTTCGTCTGTCTCTATTTTTTCTTCTGTGTTTTCATTCAACATCGGTATCACAATGTCTTCTTCCGTATTAATATGTTTTTTATTCTTATTTGTCGCATTTGTTTTCTTTGTATTATTGGCTTTTATAGAAATATCTTCCACGCAGACTGACTTTCCTGGTTCTGTTTTCAATTTTTTGGTTCTTTTCACTGTCATTGGATTTGGGGATCTTGTTTCTTTCAAATACTCTAGTAAAGCATTGTCTATTCCATATTTCACTTCGTCATATAGTTCTGGTATTCTCTTAGTAACATTGATTGGATTGAGAGGCCAAATACCTGTGGCTCTGAAGCCGCTTTTAATATTTTTTGTTTCCCTCAGCTTTATGTTTTCAATTAGTTTCGCCAGCAATTTAGGAAAATGTTTTTTATTGAGTGTAGTTTGACCAGGATTCTTGACTTTATATTCAAGTAGTCTTCTCCACTCCCTTATTCCGCCTGTGGCATCGCTTCCGAGCGGTTGCATCCAGGTAGTCCGCGCTTTCGTTCCTGTACGGTAGTGCTCCCCGCTCTCGCGCCCCCGCTGTCCCGCTCGCGCTGTACAGCGCCGACGCAGTGCTCAGTCCGCCGGCGGCATCGTTCTCGGACGGTCGCCTCCAGGTGGTCCGCGCTCCCGTACAGTACGGTAGTGCTGTCGCGCTCTCACGCGCCTCCGCTGTCCTGCTCACGCGGAACAGCGTCGAGGCTGCCGGTGAGTCACTTTTACGCTACAGTTCTTGCACCCCTGTCTTCGGGCAGTGAGGTCTGACTGACTTCCGCTTTTCATTTTCATTTTTCATTTTCACTTTTCATTTCATTCTCATTTTTCATTTTCATTTTTCATTATCATTTTTCAATTTTTTTTTAACTGTCTCCTTTATTTTCTTGTGTTCTTGTTATTCTTGTATTACGTGTATAGTGTGTCGTAGTACGTCTCGCGATCTAGTCCCTGTTCTACCGAGAACAGGGACCCGTCCTCATCTTTATTTTTACATAGCTCAGCTTGCTTACTGACCCAAAATGGCCACACCCAGCTTCACTGAGTCCCTCGCCGCCCTCATTAACCAATTCGGTTTAAATGGCAATGAGACGGTCCTCGCCGCCATCGCCACCATCGTCGCCCAGGCTTCCCTCCCTGCCCCTCAGGCACACCATCCGCCGCCGGTAATCGCATCTTACCTCGAAACGAGGAACTCTTTTGCCCCCCTCGAATCTGCCCCCCTAGAAATGGAGTACGCATGTTCCGAGTCCTCGGCGCCGTCCTCCCGGAAGAGGCGCGCCACCACTACAGGCTCCGGTTCATCGGAGTCCTCTGACTCCGACGGAACAGGGGAGTCCACATTCACTGCCGTCAACTCCAAGCGCAACGGAAAGCGCGCCGCGATAAAACGCACCCCGCCTATCTCAGCGGCCCCTGCCGCTCCTCCAACTTCCGCAGCCCCCGCCGCTGCCGCCATCCCGCTCATGTCCCTTGACATCCCAACTCCATCTAAACCTTCCTCTCGATGTGCTCCAGTCCTTGCTAAGAAGCAAGTCCCGCCCCCTGTCTTCCTAAGAGACAAGGCCAAATTCACCAAACTGTCGAAAACCTGCTACGACGCAGGAATTAAGTACGACAATGCTATCAACCTCGGTGAGGCTATCAAAATCATCCCCAGCTCGATCGAGGATTTCCGAAAACTCACCAGGCTTTCCACAGCCGAACGAGTCTCCTACCACACCTACGCTCTCCCGGAAGAGCGTAAAGTCAGGGCCGTCATCCGAGGCGTCCCCTTCGAGTTCTCGAACGAGGAAATACTTGAGGACCTTAAGTCCCAAGGCTTTCCCGTCGAAGCCGTGCACAAAATGCACAACAGAACGGGCAAGAGATACAACCTTGCCCTAGTAATCCTATCAAACGTGCCGGAGGCTAAATCCATCTTCCGGCAGGTACGCACAGTGTGTGGCCTGTCAAGGGTGAAGGTAGAGCCCCCACATAGGCCCGGTTTCCCGGCGCAGTGCCACCGCTGCCAACTTTATGGTCACGCGGCGGCCAACTGCTCCGCCCCACCCAGGTGCGTTAAGTGCCTAGAACCACACAACACGAAAGAGTGTCCCCGGCCCAAAGACGCCGAATCCCCGCCCGCTTGTGTCCTGTGCAACCAGACAGGACACCCGGCTAATTACAAGGGTTGCCCACGCGCACCTCAACCTCGCCCCAGTAGGCAAGCTCCACCGCCGATGAATGACCGCTCATTCCCGGCCCTCCAACAACGGCCCCGTCAGGGCCTTTCTCAGCCCACCCAGGGCTTCTCTCGACCCTCTCAGGGTCCCCCTAGGCCCCCCTCAGGGCATAATTCGGCCCCCCCTCCGGGCTTCTCCAAGCCAATGCAGCCTCCAGTCTTTCCCTGGGGGCCCAAAAAGGCAGACCCACCGCGGATAACCTCGTACGCTCATGAAGCAGAGCCCACAATCGACGACTACAACACGCTATATTCCGCTATTAGGAATATCGATGTTAGGGAAATAACAGTAGTATCACGCAAACTGCGCGCGGCCAAGTCCCCCCAAGAACGTCTCCTCGTTCTTGCGGAGCACAATAACCTTCTGTTAGCGTTGTAAGTTAGGTTAACTTAATTAACTTAACTTCAATGACTGAGCGAATTAACCTACCAAGATCTCATGGTCGTATCAAACCTAAGGGTTTATCGCTTGTATCATTTAATATTCGCGGCTTGCGAAATAACCTCCCAGAGCTCAAGCTCTTTCTTCGGAATCGTGAAGTCGATTTCCTCCTCCTACAGGAAACTAATCTCAAAGCTAAGGACACTAGAGGCCTTTCTATTAAAAACTTCTCTCTTCTTCGTAACGACAGACCCGACCGCCGAGGCGGCGGAACGGCCATCTATTACAAGAAGACACTTCATTGCTCGCCCATTTCTACTCCGCAGCTTACCAACATGGAAGCCACGGTATGCAGGCTAGCTATGACTGGACATCAGTCCATCCTCATAGCCTCCTGTTACATCCCTTCAGGAACCTATCCCCTCAAAAAGGATTTTGAGGCCATTTTATCCTTGGGCAATTCAGTCATTATGTTTGGAGACTTTAACTCCAAGCATACTGAATGGACATGCCGCACTACGTCCCCTAGTGGCAAGATACTGCTCGATATCACGCAGTCTCTTGATATTACCGTCCATAGTCCTCTCGGTGTTACTCACTTTCCCGATAACACCGATCACGCCCCCGATGTGTTAGATTTTGCGTTACTCCAAGGAGTTTCTCTCAACCTCAGAGCAATCGAGACACTAGACGATCTAGGATCAGATCACCGACCGGTCTCCCTCATTCTTGGCCATCAGCCACCTCCCCCAACACACACGAAAACCTTCACTAACTGGAAGGGATTCAAGGAGTCCCTAGCTAAAGCTTTGGACTCACAGGACTCTACCATCTCCCTACCGTCGGACTTAGATAGTCCCGAAAAAATCGACACCGCGGTCGACTCACTCTCCACCCTTATTAAATCCTCCCTTAAGGAGAACGAAAGGGTCGTCCCGGTTGCTAACAATAGTGGGCTTCCCCTACATATTAGCAACCTATTAAAAGCCAAAAAAGCTGCTTTCCGGAGAGCAGCAAAATATCCCACCCCCGAATATAGGCGCGCGGCCAATCGTCTTCAACGAGAACTCCGCTTCCGCCTCTCTGTATTTCGAGACCTCGAAAAGAGTAAGCTCATGGAGAATATCTCTCCATCTCACACAGCGTACTATCAGATGGCTAGAGCCCTCCGCATAGACGCTATCACCCACACTCCCCCTCTCTCCCGTCCCGACGGCACGGTTGCCTTCGAGGACGAGGAAAAGGCTGAGTGCTTTGCAGATAGCATTGCCGCTCAATGCTCTCCCAGTTCTCAACCCGTCGACCCCTCACACGCCCAGGCAGTGGAGGATGAGGTCCGCCGCCGGAACTCACCCCCCACGGCCTCCGAACCTATCTCTGTGTCCAATGATGAGATTTCATCCCTCATCAAAGGACTTAAGCCTAAAAAGGCTCCGGGCGCGGATGGCATCTCCAACCAAGCCCTAAAACACTTTCCCGAGCAGGTGTTAACCTTTTTATCTATTATCTTCAACGCCTGCTTCAACCTTAGTTATTTTCCCACTACGTGGAAAGAGGCTACTGTGATTGGAATTCCCAAGCCAGGCAAGCCTCTCAACCTCCCCCTCCAGCCATCGCCCCATTAGCCTCCTCAAGGCAATGGGCAAGCTCTTCGAAAGAGTCATCCAAATTCGTATGAGGCGCTATCTGTTTCCCACAGACGGCGACCCTCTTATCATTCCCCATCAATTCGGCTTCCGAGCCAAACACTCATGTCCCCAACAAGTTCACCGCATTGTGGAATATATCCTCAGCGGTTTCTATCCTCGTCGTCATAAGACCATCGCGGTCTTTTTTGATATAGCCAAAGCATTCGATAGAGTCTGGCACACAGGCCTCATCTACAAGCTCTATAAAATAGGTCTCCCCGATCGTCTAGTTCGTCTCGTGGCCTCCTATTTAAAACATCGTACCTTTCGTTTCAGACACGAAGGCACGCTCTCTTCACAGCGAACTATCAAGGCTGGTGTCCCTCAGGGCTACTTACTTGCTCCTCTGCTGTACATCCTGTTCACCAACGACATTCCCATCCCGTCGAAAGGTGTTCAACTCTCCCTCTTTGCAGATGACACTGCCATCTACTGCAAAGGTGTCTCACTACCCCTTATACGGAACAAGATCCAAAAGTCAGTTGATGACCTAGGAGCTTGGTTCAAAAAATGGCGCATCGATGTGAACCCGGAGAAGAGCTCCGCCGTCCACTTCGATTATAAACGACGCCGTCTCGAAAACACTCCACCAATACGTATGCTAGGGACCCCTGTCCCCTGGCATACGTCCGCCAAATATTTAGGTGTCACTCTAGACACAGGGCTCACTTTCAAGCCCCACGTCAAAAGAGTAACCCGTCACGCACGGTTTTATCTGAGTAGGCTCAACAGTATGTTGGGCCGACACAGTAAAATGTCCCTTCGAAACAAGCGTACCCTCTACAAGGTATGTATACGACCAGTCATGTCCTACGCGGGCCCCGTCTTTGCCCACGCAAACCCTAACATTTTAAATGAACTCCAAATAGTTCAGAACCTCTTCTGTCGTCGAGCTGCGACCGTGTCGAACTTCATCGGGACTTAGAGCTCCCAACAATTCAACAATTTCTTAAAAAACTCTCTGAGAACTTCTTCAAAGCCTCAGAGTCGCACCCAAACCATTTAATTCGTGAGGCAGCTTCTTATGCAGCCCCACCCCCCTCTCGCTATCGTGTCCGCAGGCCGAGAAACTCTCTCTCGG